CCTGCCAAAAGGGAATACCTGCTAAAAGGGAATACCTGCCAAAAGGGAATACCTGCTAAAAGGGAATACCTGCCAAAAGGGAATACCTGCTAAAAGGGAATACCTGCTAAAAGGGAATACCTGCCAAAAGGCCGCTGTCTGGGGAGTATGTAACTCCAGCTCTCCCTCTCTCCCCCTCTCCTTACCTTCACTTCACGCTCTTCCCTGAAGCTCAGAATTTTGGACAATGCCCTCTACAGACCAAAAGCTGCACAAACAGCATGTGGAATCTTTAATGTAATTCATTTGGTGCTTTTAATATTATATTTCAAGCTGGTAGAAACTAATTCATTCACACTAAACGCAAATCGGTCATAGCAATTTTATTCCCTGCTGTTTCACAGACAGCAGCCGTACTCTTCCCGATAATCGTGTTTAAGCGATAACCCTTCCAGATCCATCCCGTTTTCACTTTTGCTTGTGCCTCATATGTGTCTTACCCTGCTGTTTGCTGTGACTGGTTTATTAGTTAGGCTTGTGAGCTTAGTTGTAATTGTTTTTAAAATGTTTTTTAATTTTGTTGTGCCTAACTTTGTATGCATTGTTGGAATCTGCACTAACTCCTTGCCTGCACAGTAACCACTTTGCCCCAGTTGGCCACCTGGGTCAAACTGGGCAATTTGTAAGTAGACGTAACTCACTAGATGGGTAAGTAACCAAAATATGTAAAATAATAATCATACTTTCCTCTTTTATTAGTTATTTCTAAACTAAAGTTCATGCAAAAATAATTGGCAGTTTTATATAAATAATTAATTAGTTTAATTTCCCACACTACTGGTGTAGGTGTTAACGATGTAAACATGTAACCAACAATAAACTGGTAATTCAATCAAATTCACCTCAATCTGAAGCATATAAGGTCCAGAGCATAAACAACAATAATAAATTATAGTAATAACAATGACAGCCAGAGTTGAGTAGTTCAGGTCCAGAGAGTAAATGTTCAGGCCAAGATTTTATTCCAACCAACCAATTGAATGCTCTGTGAATGTGACTTTATACTCAAGTGGTTGGTTGGAACAAAATCTTGGTTTGGACTTTTACTCTCTGGGCCTGAATTAGCCACCTCTGACAAACGCATATTTGAAAGCAGTTGCCGACCATTTCGAGAGACTCTTCAGAGCAGAAGCCCTTGCTTACTTCACTCCGGCCGACTTGGCTTGCAGGGCGGAGCTCCAGAAGTCCAGCACGTTCTCAGGCTCGGAGAACGCCTGCAGGCACGCTGTGAAGGGGACTCTGGCCCTCACCGGCTCCGGAGAAGCTGTCATCTTCTCCTGCGCTTCCTGCCGCTTGGCTTCGTACGCAATCAGCTCCTCTGAGGTAAAATAATAAGCGGCAGGCCTTAAGTTTGCTCCAAAACCTTACCTGCCGACCTCTATTTAGGGGCTATTCTGGGGGATATTTAGAGGAGGGGGGGTGGGGGGGGGGGGCAGGTGATGCCAATGAGAAGCGCTTACATCTGCTTCTCTTCAGGTCAGCAGGTTGTCATTCTGTCTAACTTGGTTTTCTGAGCGACAAAACTTCACAACTCATAAACAATGAGAGTTATGTATTGAAAAAGGCAAGTACCAAAACTTACATTGTTTAATGTAAGTTTTGGTACTTACTTTAAAGCAGTGTTTTCGGTATTTTACCGGAAGCCTTTCATGCATCTGATTTGCACTATTAAAAATCACATAAAACAGCAGGATACAATACCATCACTCCAAATTACGTTAAACAGANCTTATGGCTAGTTTACCGGAAGCCTTTCATGCATCTGATTTGCACTATTAAAAATCACATAAAACAGCAGGATACAATACCATCACTCCAAATTACGTTAAACAGAACTTTTTGCTTAAGTTCTACCAGTTGCAAAAGTTATACTCTGGCATGTTTGTAGTTCTCCGATTACGTGATTTTCGTTTCAAAGGTCACGTTTGTGTGGTCTCCCTCATCTTAAATGACCTGATCATTTAATATAATTAACAAATAACAATCACTGATTACAGACCCAGCACATGACTGGATTCCATTCCAACAGATGGGTCTCATGTTGAAATAGACGTATATGGGTATAGCATGATCGCACTGCCTTTTATGTGTGAGAATGAGATGGGAATAGGCAGGAAAGGCTGGGATTGTCTTACGGTACAAACAAACAAATATGCTTTATTTGCACAAGTACTGCTTCTTTTTGCCAGAGTTATCCTGCTCTCTGTAGCCTGGGGGGTCACAGCGCAGGATATAAGCAGGGTATATTAGCCTGCTCTCTGTAGCCTGGGGGGTCACAGCGCCGGGTATAAGCAGGGTATATTAGCCTGCTCTCTGTAGCCTGGGGGGTCACAGCGCAGGGTATAAGCAGGGTATATTAGCCTGCTCTCTGTAGCATGGGGGTTCACAGCGCAGGGTATAAGCAGGGTATATTAGCCTGCTCTCCGTAGCCTGGGGGGTCACAGCGCAGGGTATAAGCAGGGTATATTAGCCTGCTCTCTGATCCTCACTTGTGCAACACTTTGAATAAGTAAACGTTTAAGCATATGACTGGCATCACTGAAGTGCCCCCCAGGGCCGCTCTGTCTGTGAGTACTTTAATGGACAGGGACCCATACAAGGTGCCCCCGCTGCCCTGTGTCCCCTGCATGCCAGGACAGGTTCCGGCTCACTGTAAACCTCCACAAATAAACCTCTGGGTGAAAGTGCCAGTTCAGTAGATACGGAGGAACTAAATACTGTCGATGACCTAGACCTCAGACTCATCCACCCGCAAAGCCATGGCACGTCGGCCGCACCTCTATTAGTGGCGGCCTCCACAGGGGCCGGCAGCTGCATGACGTAGTCTACCCTCTGGGTGTAGCGCACCTTCCGGGACTGGCAGCACTGGGTCCTCTCCTCCACCAGGAAGCGGAACACGTCGCTGGGGTTCTCTGAGCCAGCGCTGTTCCTCTACAGAAACACAGCCCCCCTCCATGTCAAAGCCAGGTCACAGTCACACCCCACCTGCCCCATTTCACGGACGGGCATGAAGGACCCTCGTTATGGCTCACAAAACAGGACTGTATTACACCTCAAACAGAACACAAGAAACAAACGGACCACCAGGGGTCAAATGCAAAAAGGTAAATGACAAAATTAAGGCAAGGAGCAACACAGGAACAAGCATAAGAACAGCAGCAAACACAAATCAACAACAGCCACAGACACACAATGACCAACTAAGGAACAGAATGAGAACTGGCACTTAAACAGATAACAAGGACTACATAAGGGGCAGGTGCAGACCATAAAACTTAACCATTATCCTGATCTCTGTACCCTTAGACATAGAGGGCATTGCACCAACTGTCAAGAGTGCAGCTGAAGTGCAGTATAGCAGAGTATAAAATTAAGGTCATAAAATTATTGAATTTAAGACCTCTGACAGAAAGGACGTCAGAATTATGAGGAAGCGCAAGGCTTGTTGTTCCAGAAACAAATATGAATTACTTAAAAGTTAGAAAACGGACAAAGAATAAATTGAGGAGTGACTAAACAAATCAAAGTAGCAACAGAACCAATCAGATGAAAACTCTCCTGCCTATGCAGTTACACACAATCAATCATCATGCAATAAGAAATGAATCTATGTAGAGATGGGAATATGGATTTATTCAGACACCGAATGCGAGGACCACACAGGGGAATAGCTGCGGACAGCTGGGATTATAAGTAGCCAGTGCAAATGTTCAAGTGCTTATTTCAGGAGTCTGTTGGCCGCGGTCGGCTAGGAAGCTCTCCTCTATTCTCAGAGGCTCCAGAAACATTCCTCTCTGTCGTCAGTCATTCATTCGCTGCAAAAACGCAGACGTTTCACTAAGCAAATTTGGTAATGGATTCAAATCTCTGGCACTTTCCAATTCATCAGGCCCTCTACAGCTAAACCAGAACTTAGTAATCCTGAAAAGAGAGGAGCACAAAAAGTAGTATGTTCGTGTGATAAACTTAAAGATGCAAATCCTTCCTGCTACATAGATCTTGAAGGCAGGGGTCGACACTGTGGCTAATTCTGATGAACATTTTTACAAAATGCAATTTATACCACAGTCATCTCTTAAAAGAATAGTCTGAATAGTATTATTTTCGTATTTAAAACATTTTGCCACAAACACAGACAAGTTTTGCCGCAAACACATTTTTGCTCCCTGCCAGCTCCCTAGCAAAAATGTGGACTGTCTGGCAGGAAGTTGGGAGGGAGCAAAAACATGGACTGTCTGGCAGGAAGTTGGGAGGGAGCAAAACCATGGACTGTGGGTCCCCGAAGTTGGAATTTAGGAAATTCAAAGCAGCAGCAGGTTTATGTCTCAGCATAAAATAGAAAGTGCTATCTGCTGTGTGCAAGGGATAGATAGCGAGATCTTTTTTTAGGCTGGTGAGAAAGTCACTTCAGAGCATGAGCGCATGTGTGCCAGAGGCAGGATCTCTGACCCGAGGTTCACAGACGCCGAAATGACAGGGCTGCAGACACGTCACCAAAAACTGACACAGCAAGATCAAGCACCCCAAAGCCAGTTTAACTCCATAAACCCCAATGCCGCTGAAGATCACACCTTCTTACCTTCTGCTGCAACGTGTTATGAAGTACACTCAAGAACTATTAACCAGCCTACTGCCGATTCAGCTTGTTAGTCATTAAAGAAACACTCATACAGTCTAAGGACGAGGGGACACACACCTCTACTAGGTTGATTATGTGGAGCAGGAACTCATGGGCATCTTGCTGTCTGTTGGAGGAGAATTCGGGGTGGCCTTTACTGACTAAAGCCTTGAACATGCGTGGACAGATTCCTTTCTGTTGGTGCTGGAATGAGATGGCAACATAAAATGAGGGAGTAGAGGTTTCATGTATTACACGTAAATGTTCTGCATCATATGACAGAGCAAACCACAAAAACAATTCAGTATATATTAATTATGACAGACCAGCTCAATACACCAATAAGGGCTCATTATTTCTGAATAGTACTTGATGAAAATCGGTGCGACTGTTTAGAGAATGACCTTGTATTTATGGCAGTAAATGAATTATTAATTTATACCTATATTATAATTTATTAAAGCTACCAATATTTTGGTGACTGATTTCCCAGGTGTCAGGACTTCGTAATCGGTGCTGAGCAAGTGCCGCTATATCGATGCATAACGAACAGACCCAAAAGGGCGATTTCGAAAGCTTTACGATCTGCTGTATGCTTCTTCATGCTTGTAGGTAACTTTCAAAATTACAGTCTCAGCAAGGCCGAGGGGGCTGTTATCAGACAAGGCCTTTGCAGTGCTGGGTGCATAAATCACCCTGACCATCGACAAAGAAAAAAAAAGCTGAACAAATACTTAAGCACATGCACACCCTACGTGGGATCAGAGTCAAAGTAAAAAAAAAGGTAAAAGCCATTCTTGTATTTCTTGATTTTCATTCATGTACATTTCTCAAAGAAATACAGACGATGCAACCTAGTGGCTCAACAAGAGAAGAAACAATCCTTTTAATGCTCTGAATCGATCTCCCTTAAAAGAGACGGCAGCACTGAGCCCTCTGTCACGATGGCTTTTACACAGACACTGCGTCCACATACCCAGGCTACCAGCTTGTGCTCTTCATTCATCACCTGTTCAATGAGTTCGGATTTCACTGGAGGCTTCGAGTATTGGCCTGAAAGCAAACCGTGTCCCAACTTTGCCCTGGAAAGGAGGCAAAATCTAAGTCACCTCCATCATCAATTTCACTCCCTAGAGAAAGAACAATGTTTGGAAAATTCATGCAAGCATTATTGAACTGGAAAGTAAAAAAAAAAAAATTTTTGCACATTGAGGATATTTATCTATCATGAGTCTTTATATATTGTGTATGTTTCACATTTGATGAGCTGGAAGAGAAGCATTCCAATGTACCTGTTGTATTTGTGCAAATGGCAAATAAATTATTTAATCATGGTCAATGAAACGCTACCTGTCACAATAGCCAACATCCAGTTCCTGCTGACTACGTTTCATGCATGCAGGCTTTTCAAAACGTTTTCAGTCACACAGAGGTTAAAGAAAATACTCACATCTGTGTGCTGAAGTCCTGCGTGGGATCAAGCGGTGAGTAATCATATATCCTCTGAAGGTTTCCCACGTACCTGGAGCGGCGCCACAGACGCGGAGCAGACAGAGTAACGTGAAAACCGAGCAAAAATGGAGCCACATCAGGAACTAAACACATCCAGAACAAGTGCGGACCGTGTTCATGCATGGAGATTCTCATTAGGGTTTTTGTTTTGATTTTTTTTTTAAATAGCATATAGCTTTATTTAGCAATTATAAATAAATACTATAAGTCAAATCACATTGCTTCAATTGTTTTATATAAGACTAAAATATCTTACAAACAAATATGAACTAATGTCAGACAGACAGAGGTTCTGTATAGGGTTAGGTTTCCCAATTCAGCCAGTCTGCGACACAGCTTGCACATTTCCCTGCCCAGACACGCCTACTAAACTTGGCAATTAGCTGGAGAGCTGAATAAGGTGTGCTGCAAACTGGCCATCCAGAACTGAAATTGTGGAAGGGGTACAGAGGTATATACCCCCAGTGCCCCAAAGGTGCTAGAGGTACTGAGGTATATACCCCCAGTGCCCCAAAGGTGCTAGAGGTACTGAGGTATATACCCCCAGTGCCCCAAAGGTGCTAGGGGTACAGAGGTATATACCCCCAGTGCCCCAAAGGTGCTAGAGGTACAGAGGTATATNCCAAAGGTGCTAGAGGTACAGAGGTATATACCCCCAGTGCCCCAAAGGTGCTAGAGGTACAGAGGTATATACCCCCAGTGCCCCAAAGGTGCTAGGGGTACAGAGGTATATACCCCCAGTGCCCCAAAGGTGCTAGGGGTACTGAGGTATATACCTCCAGTGCCCCAAAGGTGCTAGGGGTACTGAGGTATATACCCCCAGTGCCCCAAAGGTGCTGGGTACTCACGCTCTCTGGAATTCTGGGATGCTGAAGAGGACTTGCATAGTGGTTCCTAGATAGCAGCTGTTGCCCAAGTTTCTGACCCCAGTGTAACCAGGGCCGTAGACGGCTTTGAGCTTAGAGCCCGACTCCTGGATCACCTCCCACTCAGTCACGCGTGGTCTCACCTGGTTGTCCACGTGACCGTTCTCCGTCTGTGTGAAAGAGGGAGGCCCGGAAGGAAGGAGGCCCGGATCCTCATGAAACTTAGCGCCAAACACACTGGTGTAAAGCACATAGCTGCTGACTGTTTTCCAAATCACAGAAACAATTTTAAAAACTGCATTGCAAGAGAAATGTAGAGCAGAGGATCAAATGCAGCTTTAACGGTTCCAGATAAGAACATTTAAAAACACAAACCTTTTGCATTTGTAACATATCAATTCCAAAATGTGCTAAATGGTCGGAGATGTGTGGATCTAAGACAGCCTCTTCTTCATCAAAAGAATAAATATCTGGAAAAAGATACGTCATATTATTCTGATTCTTTTAACAGAGACGTTAAATGGATAAGAAACGCATCGTAACTGTCTTTATGACATCACTGCAAATGTCATCTGGATATATGGTCCTGCCCTGCTGAGTCAGCACCACTGACCTGCTCCATCTGGAGTTATTGTGCCCAGTTTGACTGCCAAGGGGAAGCTGGTTTCTCTGTAGTGTTCCAGGGCGTGTCCATTACCACCATTACCATCAAAGAACCACTTCCCACAAAGCACTGACCCATCTGTAAGGTTCAGCCACAGGTTCTCCCTCATCTCGCATTTGGTACACTTCCAGCCACTGAGGAGAGAGAGTGTTATGACATCAGATTTCACCGTGTCATGTAGTGAGCGCCTTAGGGCTTTAGGTCAGGGACTGTTATGTTACTATGTATTGTATACATTGTGTATGTGGCTCTAGTTTCACACGCAGCTGTTTGTGTGTCTGCTTAAATATCAATAGCTATTAACTCTGGTTAGTCTTCGGTTTTTATATATATATATATATATATATATATATATAATCTTTAAAAATAAAGTTTGCTTTAATGGACTCCTTTTCAAGATAATGTTCAGTCACACAAAGACAGAAAATGTCTTCACGATCCATTTAGTGCGTTTCTGTCACCCTAACTTTGACAAACAACGGAGAATATTAGGGGGCGAGTAGCTGATCCCAGCTGAATGTGCAGTTGCCTCATCAATGCATACTACCATAGTAACCCTATAACTTTGTGCAGTATTATACGTAGTTTTTACACCCACTACACATGAGACGTGGAGACTGAACCTAATAGGGTCTGGATGGAGACAGGGTACCTTGGTGGGATTCGAACCCCGTTGTCCAGCTGGCGGAGGCTCCTAGCGTGCTTCGACACCTGGACCTCCTCCTCCCAGGAGTCTTGTTCCTGTTTTCGGAATCCGCAGGGAGCGTTGAGCACAGCATCGCAGGCTATTGTCACCTTAGAGCGAAGGAAGGAGCACAGCAGGTTCTACAAGGACTCGATACATTAAAGCATATCGTCATGCATCACATAAAAAAAATGTATATGCAACTGAACCCTCACATCATATCAGTGTGGAAATTACAAATGGAATGGCAGACATGCAAGGAAACGTGAGGCAGAATTGTTGTGATTATGGTATTGCAGAATAATATAGAAATAAAGTAGGAAACAATTGCATAGCAAATGCATTATAGCCCGAACAATTACATATACAAGTGCTATAGTACATATAAAGCCTTATCAGAGACATGATGGTTTAAGTGGAACAGAGGGAAGAGAACACTTATTACAATGCTAATGACTGAGCAAACTGAACTGACGGGGACATTTTCCACAGTACAAATCAGAAGAAGTCTAACCTTAAACCCCCCTTCTGCATGCAGGGCAAAGAGAGATCTGGGACACACTCACTGACCAGTGCAGGCAACTCCTCAATATTCGGTAAGGGGATCTCGAAGTGGTCTGGGAATATTACAAGCTGTGCTTCGTCTTCGTATTCATAATCATCGGCGTTATAATTCTGGTGAAGTTCTAGATCTTAAAGAAGGGGGCACAAGCTTCAGTTATAAGGACAACATCCCTGTGCATCAGATTTAGAAGGGTAAATGACTGGCAGGTGGGGGTCAGCACTCACGACCCCCGTCTGCACCAAAGGTCACAGCTGCTGGGTGTGTGGGTGGGATGCAGTGTCAGCACTGCCATAGCAAGCATCCAGTTATGCTGATAAGGCCTAAACACTGTACAGTTCCTACTTATTTAAAAAAACAGTGCAATTTATAGTGAAGTAAAACCACAGCAAGAAGCAAGGACATTTAATACTAATTTTCATGTAAGAAAACCATAGGTATAGTAACACAACAAAACAAAAGACGCTGATCTTTAAAAAATTTCACTGGGAAATAAGGAACTGACAGAGTCCTCTGTAAATGTCTGCAATGCTTAAGACATTATTCGTGAAGACATTTTACAGGTAAGTGCCGACGTGTGTTTGATCATCTCATAAAGGCAGGGTCTGCAATACAAGCACAACATCTAATGTCTCTTCTGCGGATTCGCTTAGAAAATAAATTGATCCATATCTCGTTTTTTTATTATTTCGATGTGGGGTGGCAACACGGGTGACCACGCATTCACGAGCGGTTGCCATGGCCACCCCTGACCACCCCGTAGAGCCACCTCTGCCCCAAGATCAGGTTAATCCGGATGCCCACCACCGGTCTCGCCAATGGTGTGCACGACGAGGCAGAGGGCATGAGGCAGGATGGGCACCACGCCACCGAGCAGCCAGCCAGTGCGCCAGAGAAACGGCCCGGATCATTTAAGCTGCCGTCAGCAGCCGTGACTTCTGCTTGTGGCTCGGCCTGTCTGCAGTGAGATACCGGTGGCAGTGCACTGGAGCTCCGCGGGGCTTGACAGAGCGAAGCAGCTGATGCAGGGGAAATGACAGGCGGAGGAGCCCACTGCAAGCCAGATCCCGCAGCCTAGGAGCGCAGTGCGCCCGGCCAGGCAAAGCGGCTCCCAAGATTTTGAACATCTACTAGCTGAGCAGTAAAGCCCTAAATTTAGCAGACACAGAACAGACATTAAACAAAGCCACGTGTCACTTTCCAGATAGAGTGGCAGGGGACATGACACCCTTGGTCAAGCTACGGCCCACCCATACCCATTCCTGCAAATGGTAGCTCTGCGTCCAGTGGGGGCGTCGGAAGGGTGTGGACACCCAGGCAGACTCAGAGGGCCCAACGCTTGAAGACTATACGTTTCTAGGTATGGCCCTAGATCCACATGAGAGCTTCCGGAGAAGATCAGCCCTGCAAAACACTCTGGAGATCACAGGATTCTCCTGGCAGAATGAGTTGGTGACGCTTTAACTGTCTTACCAAGGAATGTCTTCCCATTTCTCCTCCTCGGCACAGCACCTCCAGCAGCACCTGTGGCTTTCTGTGATGAAAATGGATCCATATCATTCGTCATGGACCAAGAGCAGATACCATTATGGTTACATTGATGTTATGCCGATTATGTTCTACAATACAGAAACATAATACGTAATATTACATGTATTATTCAAAATGATCATCATTATTAATAATTAATTACCATTAGGGTTGCAAAGGGCTGGAAAATTTCTGGAAATTTTCCTGAAACTTTCCGTTCCATGGGAAGTTAAGCTGGGGGATTTTGGAAATATTCCACATTAGAAACTTTCCATGGGAATTAACGGGAAAGTATGGGAATTAACAAGAATATTCCTAGAATTTTGCAACCCTAATTACCATTAAAACCATACCTCTGTATGCCATTTGTAAACTGGATTTTTATTCAGCATTTAAATATATCACTCTTTGTGCTATAAAGTGACAGCTAACAAAACTAAAAACCAAAATGAGAGGATTTCAAAAATTGCCTAATATATTATGATATGCAACATTTCGTAATAGCCTCTCATTGACTTCAAAGAGAAACATATTACTATGATAATAATGACACAATTCTCGTTGTAACGAGATAATTTTCACGTTGAAATGAGACACGTCTCATTATAACAAGAAACTGGGCAAATCTCCATATTCTCAGGAGCTTAATTGGGCAAGTAAGAAGGGATGCCAACTACCTAACTGAGATGAGTGACTTAAAATAAAAAGGTGACTGTTAAACATGTAGTTTCAAATACAGGGTCAAACCGGTAATGCAGGACTGAAGAGCCCAGAAGCCAGAACAGACAGTGAAACAGTGCATTCATTCAGAGACGCGAAAACTGCTGCAGGTCAGACTCCTGACAATATTTAATCCAATCAGATCTCGTTTTCCCCCCCAATTTTGGATGTTAAGGTTTCTACTGAGCGGGCATGCTGTCATATTAACAGCTTTCAGAGAAGACGGGAACCAGGAGATGCATGAATTTTCCCAGCTGTCAGTGGAGAATTCAGACATAGCAACACTTACTGAGGCTAATCTATGGCTTATCTGGAGTTGGTTAGGATAAACAGTATTATAAGGAACACTTATAGGCAAATGTTTATTCTGCGTGTTAACTATTCAGAAAACTGGAGCACATAAATCAGCAGCTGAAAGAAAGCCTAAGCCAGCTGTCCAAAACACACAGGACAATAAGCTTTCAGTTTAGCGGGGAATGTCCTAACATGAAGCAGGTACTGAGTATTGTGGTTAGTGTAAAAAGGCTGAACACACTGATGGGATAATTACATATAAGACACGGGTAAATATGACCATGGTGAGTAGTGATGCAGCCCTCAGGGCCTTTAAATCCCTCCGGCACTGATTGGCGGGGGCTCTGCATGTCCTCTCTGTCTTTCAGCTGGTCTCCTACTGCGGTTGTGCCATTAAGGTGAGCTGGTTCCTTTAAATTTCCCATAGTGTGAGTGTGTACTGCGCACTGGACTGTTATCACACCTGCCTTGTGCTCTAAGTCAACAGCAGGATTCTGTGTTGAATAAAGAGGTTGTGGAAAAAAAAGATAAAGATCAGCTATGGTCTGGTCCTAAAACCTTATGGTTTGGTCTGGTTCTAAAACCTTAAATGTTATGCCTCTTAATTTCAGTGGGAAAAAAACATTCTCACTACTTTTAGTACTACTGATTGATTCACTGAATTCCTGCTGTTTTCCTACCCTCATACCTTTTAAATATTAAAGTAAAATAAAGCATCCAACGTGAACAATTATATTCAATTATTTGTTAAATCATTTACTGACAGTCTTCCTTCCTGTAAGGTTGATGGTTTTTTACACCGGTGAAAATCAGATGTTATTTAAATGCATATATGAAAAGACAAGATGCTCTTTGTACAGAACACCTATTGTGTAATTGAGGGTGAGTAATTTAATGTGCGGAGGTGTGCATGTTTCTGATGTAATACTCATTATTTCACTTCAGAATTCTGTGCGCTGATTTAGTATTGCATTAAGGGAATTAATCCAAGAATGGCCTGGTAAGATGGTGTCAGAGTACAAATATAAAACATAATTCTGAGGCAAACGACTATACATGAGTGACAGCGGGTGGCTTAGTGGTTAAGTACATATAACACGGGGTTCTTAGCACCTCTGAAAATATTTTTTCAAAAAATGTATTTTAAAAGTTGATTTAAACAAAATTCTTTATTAATTAAACAATGTTCTTTAGATATTTAACTTGAAATTATAAAGTGAAAATTGCAGCCAGGTAAGAATGACTGGGCTGAGGAGCTTTTGGAAAAGAAAACAGCTAAGTGGGATGTAAGAGACTGGAACGCCTGTGGAAGACAGAGAAAGCATGGCGCATGCCGCATGGTGCATGCTGCATGGCGAGCCGCTGCACCTACCTTCTTAACGGTCCGTTTCAGATGCATGTAAACACTCTGCCCAGTTTTGCGGTAGTGCCTCTCCACATGCTCTCTGCCAAAACCCAAGAATGTGTTCATGCACACGTAGAGGCCCCCATCAGACTCCTGGACACATACGGAAAAAGAGATGATTGCAGTGCAGTCGACATCATGACCACATCAGCAGACAAGCGTAAGAGCAGGAGTTGCCGATAGCTTTATGTTATTCTATAACGCATCGCTTCAGGTCTGTGTCTAAACTGAAAGGGGTGAGGAGCAGAAGACCGGGACGTGAAGCGAGGTGATGGTGCTCGTCTGGGGATCCAGGTCAGAGATACCACATTCGGGGGGGCAGCTCTACCAGCCTGTACCAGTATGCAGCGAGCCCAGGACAAAATGAGAGGGAAGGAGTCCAAAGCAGCCTATGCACAAATGATACACTGCATTTGCCAATAAGCTACAAAACCTCAGAGTATTACTACCAGAGATGGGGTTCAGGTAACTGTCTGCCGGCCCACAAACACGCTGAAAACATTGAAGAATAGAAGATGTGGAAATTTTAATGAGTGCAAGGCCACTGCTGTAAAATTAACAAGCACGTATTTTCAAAATACTACAAAAAAGGCATGCGGGCCGGAGCCCAGGCTGATGCTGGCGGCCTTTGGTTCAGCGTACCAATCTTCTCATTTGTGGCCCTCAAGGAAATGTGACACGTATCCCCACATCCCCACACCTATGAAGCTTATGTCACGTTAAACCAATTCAACTAAGCGCATGCAAATTAAATCTTTTGCAGACTGGAACACACCAGTTTCCAGTAAACGATGCTTAAAAGTGTTTTTTCTTTTTACTTTTTAAGGGAAAGCATTGCATTAATTACATTCAAATGATAGGTAAATACTTCATAGAAAATGTTTTATGAAGGGCTTTAATAGTGGAAATAGCAATAATTCCAGAACCAAAACACCAGAACCATGTGACTGAAATTTTTCACGTTAAACAGCTGATTCTTTGAAAACATGTGAAATGTTACAAGAATTTAACCACACAAATTTATCTGTTAAATAAATTACTGGTAATATGGGCTGAGGGCCATTCTGTCCCCCCAAGGTAAGACCTTAAGCGTGCGTGATTCTCGATTGCACACTATTATTTACCATAGCGTACCAGTATACCTTCCCAAGGCTGATCCAACTCGACATTAAAGTAACAAAAGCATTTACTGTTAAACTGTACCGTTCACAGTATTTTATACTTAGACCAGGAGACCCTAAAGGAGTTCAGTGTGATACACGAGCTCCCAGCACCGGAGTAAAAATAACCCATCTTCAGTTAGATATGATGAACTCCAGACAGCTGAGTCACCGTTAAAATTACTACAACAGATAAAACATCACGTGTGGATTTCTAGTAGTTAACGTATTCCAACAACACCCAAGATATCTCAATATCAGGATTACAACCATGCACAACAGCCATGAATTGCTTTTTATTTAGCCTACAAATCTACAATAACTATTTGCAGCTTGGAAACCTCGATGTGTTGAGTATAATAATTACTTGCAGGAGGAAAACGTAAATGAAGGCGCTAAGGAGTAAATGTGAACTTTTTAAATGGTGACCGTGTTCATATTGTATTTTTTGTTGGGGGGGAGGTTAGATAATTCGTACTGGCCAACATTTCCCAAAGAAGACCGACGCCGGAGACACGGCATTCAGGTAGAGCAACACTAAGGTGACTGTCAATGGAAAAGCTGAGCTATCGGTTTGCCGTATAATTAGCTGCTGAATAGTAGTCTACTGAGGCTGTATTCTATATATGTCACAGTGAGTGAGTAACTAATGTTTCAATAAAAACATTTCAGTGACAAGCATGGATTCGCAATAATCGTGGGTAGCATTGGTCGATTACAAATGCCAGTGTATGGTTTGAAAGAGATTAAATGCTTGACAAAATGAAATCTGATTTTGGGGTTAACACGGCAGTGTAAACATTACATATGGCATACTCTCCGTAAAAGTACAAAGAGATCGCGGGGTGTACCCCCGGCTGCCCCGCGGAACTGCGCAGCTATTCACGTGTACTAAAGCAGGCAGGATCGCCCCGTACATGCGTTACTTAAATCGGAGGCACTTACAGGGGAATCGTAGGAAAAGGCACATTCACTCTTGAAAACCCGATCTCCAGTCCTGGGGACCCTGATGGTGGGCATGTAGGGAACCAGTAGCTCTCCTAGATCTGCAGCCATCTTCGCATTCCTGCTTCTGTCCCCGCAGCGCTGCTGTTTGCGAAAGAGTTACTGGAGCAGGCTGTCAGGAAAGAAGATGATGCTATTTTTAAATCGCACAGTCCCGACATTCCTGCTGGATTCGGGGATGTGTCGCTTCAAAATGTTACGCACAATAAAAATACTGACATCTGTTTATGGATTATTATTTGTAAGCCATTCCGACCGCGTTTTAATTGGGGGCGATAAGCAAATATAGGAATAAACGCTGGTGTTGCGGTCGTAGGAGTTATTGACGATTTGCAGTTTTCCGGAACTGGAAGAATTTTCTTCACATGGATTTTGTTTTTTGTTTTTTTTTTTAAAGGCCTACGTTGACTGCTTTTTGTAATGTCTGCTCTGCTACATCTGCGCGCCTAGCTACTGTATTACCCAGTATTAGCACGACCACGCCTATTGTGGAGGTAACCCGCTTTGAAGGCGATGGTAACACAGCAGAGCAACTGCGTGCAACATCTGGAATCGATATCTGAATATTATTTACATTACATTTGGAGGACAATTCCGTGAAACTAGACTAATAGCTCATAAAGGAATTGTTTTTTACAGAGGGGAAGAAATCTTCAGTCACCAGTAGTAGAAGAGCTGTTTCAGTAGATATTAAGACATCCAGCATTGTTGCTTTATGCAAAATTAGATAACTTTTGAAAACTGTTTCCAAAAATTTTTTTTTATTTTTTTTTATTTGATTATACGTAATACAAGATTATAGAATTATTGTAATGTGGAAACACCGCAGTTTTTGCCAACTAAAAGCAATTATCACGTGTGATGCATCAGATATGATATCAGTATATTTACTTGCTCCTTTGTCATCTTGAATGTTTAAAGATAACCCAGTACATTCATCTAACTCTGTACCAGATCATGCTTTGTATGCAATATCCAAATGAGAACATGTACATTAATTTGGGAATTTTTGTTTTCCAAAGAATCCCTGATATTAGGGTGCTTTTCATTTCCAGATTGTATTGCCGTCTTATGGGGAGGAAAATACCTGTACCTGTATGTACCTGTACAATCAGTAATTCCCTCATCTAAATGTTTAACACTTGCTAGAGCTATTCATGTCTTTGCACAATGAGTCGTGAATATTATATTTTACTATATATAGAAAATAACTGGGTGCCCTAGTCCTTGGTGAAGTAAAATATGATGGTTAGTCTAACTCATGGAAAATTATTCACTGGAAATTTGTAATTGTATTTGTTGTATTTAGCAGATAAATTACAGATTTCCCATTTATACAGGGCCATGAAACAAGAGGAGAAAGCCATAATCCAAAGCCCTTCATTTAGTTAATGGAGAGAACGAGAGAAACTCTACCAGATTTTTTTTAAAAAAAAGACACATACATATCTCATCTATCCTTCTCAAATATGCTCCATATCAATTTCAGCTATCAGGAAGGTGGTCTGAAAGTGTATATGCTGTTAACAATCTACCTGTCTTCTAACCACTTATTCTGAAGAGGGTTGGGGGGGGAGGATGGAGCCCACCCCAGGCAGTATGGGGTACAACATCCGAAGGCTGGGGTACATCAGTGATGCAGGTCCATCACATTTCACTCAGTCACACACGCTGTGGGGAACGTAAAGGCTTTGAGTCACCACCCTGGCCAAATGTGTGGTTTCTCTGGTATTTCCTGCAGTCCAAACACTTGGTCTGGTGAGCTGGAGTTGCCAAATTGTCCGTAGGTTTGAGAGTGAGAGTGAGAGTGAGTGTGAGCACTCTGTGATGGGCTGGTGTCCTCCCCAGGGTTACTCCCCGACCCCCACAACCCCGCACAGGACAAGCGCGTCTGCAAAATGAATGAATACACATTGGCCATTAATAAATCTGTATTCATCATTTATTATAACAAAATATCAATCATTTCAAAATGAAATGTTAATGTTGGCTGTAAAACAATTCCTGCACCTGAATCTAACAGACACTGGAGTGGCAAAGTCATCGACGGTTTACTGTACAATTCCCGAGCGCATGCCATAAAGGTCACTTATGTCAGTAACCTGTACAACATGAAATACAGAAATGAATTTTCCATTAATCAGATAGGTTTACAGTAATTGTGAAGGGACATATCATTTTAAGGAGGTCATAACTGCCATTAATATACCGTCGATTGCGTCTTAATTATTTTATTCCGTTGGAAACAGTTCAGATTCAGTTATGTTGCAAGAACATTAAATGCAGGAAAGGTTATACGACGTCCGCTTGATAAGATCTGGGGAATTGTGATTGGACCAAAAGAACGAATTATAAATGTATAAACCTGTGTATGTGCGTGTGTGTATATAATATAATATGTGTGTGTATCTATATCTTTTAACGAATCATCTATGCGAAATACGATTCTTTTCTGATGACAGTGAAACGCCGTGATGCATGTTGGGTAAACGTCACAGATCCAAGATGGCTGCGATCAGTGGAGGACGTGTTTTGTCACTTTGCCGTCAATTTCAGTCAGGATTTAGGATATCAACTTTACCTCTCCAGCGTCCGCATGTTTTTACCAAACTCGGTCCACTGAGGTAAAATAACAATAAAATATGTACATATTAATTAACACGTGGCATAACCTAATAGCCTATTTCCCTGCTGCTGTCTTTGACTTTTTCCTTCCCAAACGCAGTCCCTGTCCTCAGACTCATGTGAGGCTGGTTGCACAGTGCCGGTCATTGTACACGTCCAGCTGCAGAAAAGGACTGGAGGAGTTCTTTGACATCCCCGAAAACTGGGGGGAGTCGACCGTCAAGTCAGGTAAAAATTCAGTGCTTCCATGTCGTATCTTACGCTAAAATTGCATGACGTCTTGTGTATGTTATATTTGTTAAACCTTAAATTCTGCTAATTTGTTTCGTTTATCTCGCTGGTTGTTCGCCTAACGGTCGATGTATTTTTCATAGGGGCGCCTTGGACTGCAAAACAACTAAGGACTAAAAGTAATGAAGATTTACACAAGCTATGGTACGCTGCATACTTAATGTCAATAATGTGCCATGTGTTTGGCGAAATTGTATATGGATTCAGAAATCAGTGCATTTCGGGGTAAATGGGCTGCGAGTATAACCGCAGAATTTCTCTGCAGGTACGTACTGCTCAAAGAGAAGAACATGTTGCTGTCTATTGAACAAGAGGCGAAGAGACAAAGGGTCCCGATGCCGAGCCCGGAGCGCCTGAGGAAGGTAAAAACGGAGCGTCCGGGTTGCGTGCCCGGCTGACGCCATTCCTGACAGTGTTCAGGAGGCCACTTTAGAGAGCATAATGTTTAATACTGTGATTCTGTGACTTTTGTCTCTGAGGAATGGAAATGCTGTCCTGTGTGATATAGTCTTTAAAGTATTTTAAAAATATTAAATGACCAGGTCACTTTATTTCAGGTGGACAGGTCTATGATAAGGCTTGAGACTGTAGTCAGGGAGAGAGAGGATGCCATCCGGTTGCTGCAGACTGGCCAGGAGAGATCTCGCCCAGGTGCTTGGAGAAAAGACCTCTTTGGAAGAACTTACTGGTATGGATGGAAAATGCAGTTTCAGTTGTCTAACAAAATAGCAGTTTGCCTTTATATGGAAGAAAATGCCACTTAGAAATGTACATATTTTTAGAATTGGATTTTGTACAGCTTTAAATGTTCATGTCTCATTTTCTGGTAAACTAAATTTCTGGCTAAGGGCTATTGCTATGCCCTTGGGTACAAAGCATGAAAATATACCGGTTCCAAAAATATGCATCCTGTGTTGTCATTGTCAAATATTTCATTGCTCGCAGTGGATAACTGCTGTCATTTTATTTTTCTCATAACTGTAAAATAACTCCCTCACAGAAGTTCTGAAAAGACCCGTGTTTGCATTGGCTGGGAAGTGCTACAGAGTTGTCATTTTGCAAATAATGTTCAGCTGTTGTGTGCCAGCATGCGCAGAAGCTGACGGTGCCTTGACCACCTTCTCAGACCTGATTATTACCCGATACATTAATTAAGTGTTTCTGTGGACTTGGCAGGTATAAATTTAAGGAGTACCCCATTCCATGGTACCTGAACACAAGATACAAGAGAAAGCGATTCTTCTCAGCACCATTTGTTAATGACTTCATAAGGTGAGTGAGCATCTTGGTAATAAGGACCACACCTGATTGACGTCATTAATTTGAATTATTTCATTGATCCAAAGACTTTCCGGTATCATTTCTTTGGGAACCCTAGGGGAAAAAACTATGAATTTTATTTTACTTATTATGCATATGCAAAAGCTATTTTTATAACATGCATAATAGTAATTTCTGTACTGTTATTTTAAACGAGTCAGCCATGCCACTTTTAAATCTACCAGCATCTTTTTTTTTTCTTCTTCATTCCACCAGTATTACATGTAAGTTGCTCTTTAAATTATTCAGGTCATTGATCAGCTCATTGAGGTGTGTCTCTGGTGGAATAGAACACTTATCACTTGATTCTGAGACACACTAGATGGTGCTCTCTAATCATAAAAGGGCTCAAGGCATGCCTCATAGCAAACCAAGAGCAGAAAATACAGCAAATGGTTCATGAGACTTCATTTACTCATCACTAGCAACTAGCAGTTGTGATTTACACAATTTCAATGAAATTTCTTTATTAGATAAAAGATAAAAAAAACAATTAGCAAAAATGTAGCTTGGGATAAGTATTCTTTGGTTGCTGATCTTTGTAATCAGTACATTTTTGTATTTATGACTCAGGCTTCGCATAGAACAACACATGCGAAGAAGACGAAGGAAGCGATTGGCCGAAGCCAAAAGGCACAGCAAACTGATGGAGAAATTCCCGAACATGGTCTCCAAGGCATGAGGCGCTAAGAACATGCTTGGAACATCATGAACATGTGACTGATGTATGCCTTTATATAACAATGAAGCTTTTTTTTTTTTCTTTTTCTTTAATAGCCAAAACACACACGTGAGATTAACTCTGCAATTCATGCAGTCTCGCAGCTCTTAAATCTCAAATAAAATTTTACCTCAAATGCAGTTCATTGTTTTCAGCTAGTTCTATGTCTTACAATAAAAGAAGCACTGAATATCATACATAAAAGAACATCCTCTGTGAATATTCTTACTTTCACAGTCCACTAGAAGGCAGGTCATTCAACATATAATGCAGCTGTATTTCAAATTTAGACAGTGAGGTGAGAATGAAATTCCTGTTAAAAGACGATGCTCTTTGATCGCATGTAATGCAATGTGACACACAGGTATGTACAAAGCATTTTTGTCGATCGCTGCTGTTTAAAATGAACATGGCATAATTAAAGACTGATTGTATAAAATGATTAATCAGTGCCTTATCAAAATATAATTATAAAAGGCTTACAACTCTTGAACTCTAACAGCAATTTGCCTGAGTGGGGATCTCAAAACTAACACCACATAAAATAACCCGATAAAAGGAAAACAATTTTAAATGCCATAGGAGGGGAAAAAATGCCATTATAGGATGTTCCTGAGTCCAGAGGAAAGACCAGCCTTTTCTGTAGAGTTACAGCCAATCACGGACACTTTCTGTCCACACACTGCTTGCCCCCTTCCTCATACTCCTGCTTTGAGATCCACATTTGCTGGAAGGTTCCCTGCAGAACAGCATTTAGGAATACAAACATTAGCTGTCCGAATTACTCCATAAAAAGTGCGAGATGCAGGTATATGAAGTAAAACTCAAACTGCAGTAAATATAACAAAAATCGTACCAGAGAGGCGAGGATGGAGCCGCCTATCCAGGCGCTGAACCTGCGCTCCACGGTGGTGTTGTTGGCTATCAGCTTGAGGCGCATGCTCTAAACACAGAGAGGACATTTAAAAAGGAGGCAGTAATGTCCTTGTCAGTAGTTACAGGTACGCTCCACACACAACGTGATGATATTTCTACTCAGAAGATGGACACATGAATCACAAAACAATACACTCATTTTAGATGGTTTAAAAGCACAGGTGCCGGGACTCTTTTGCAAAGTGGTATTTGATGGACTATTTCTGGCTTTAGTGTACAGAAATGCGTCCCGAGGTTGGGGCGGCCCCAGTGTGGCCTTCTGCGGCCCCCTCACCGGGGGTGTCTTCTGGGACAGCTCCCTGTTGAGCCGGTCAGTGAAGCCTTGGATCAGCGTGTTTCCCCCCGTGACGACGACACTGCCGTACAGGCCCTGGGAAGATGGGCAGGATCACTCAGTCTGCGTCTTTCTCCAATGGTGGTTTTCCACTTCCACCGAGACCCGAGCCGCACCACAAACTAACGGTTTTCCATTGTAAATTATCGGAGCTGGACCCAGCGTGGCCCTCTTTACTAGCAGTGCCAAAAGCTGACCAAACAAAGCTGGCTACGTCGCCACCACCTGACCGGTCGAACTGCAGAGATACCGGTGTTCTGTGCATGGATTAGCTGAAGGAAAAAAAGCTTATTATATATATTATTCATTATTAGTAGTATCGCATGTGGCGATGCATTGATGCATTTCCAATAACTCGGAATTTGAGTACTATAGAGCAGCTAAATGGAATGGATTCCTAATCCCAATTACGTTAGCATTTGATGCTAACATATCACAGGGATTCTCACTGATGTGCTAGCGGAAATTAGCACATAGTAAATCGTGTTGTACACTATGTGAACAGTAAATAAGCGTCTCTTTAGGTTCATGTTTCTGTCGCTCTCCAAACCCAGCGACCCCTTTAACGAGTCGACCCTTCTGCAGTGGAAAGCCAAAGTGAGTACGGGTACGGCTCGGATCCTGTGTACTAGTGGAAAAGCAACTCAAGACAATAGGTAAGTAAGGACATCTCACATAAATAAAACAATAATGGATCACTGCAATTTCACAGAAATCACTATTCATTGTGCACTGACTGGCATTCGCATTTGGGAACAGGAACAGCTGTTCAATTTAGGCATCGCAATATTGTAGCTGTTCATCATGTATACATTACTCTATGCATACATTACTACAAGTTAGATACAGACAGCGGGTCATCATATGGCTGCCAGTGCTGCCCATTCTCCTGCACCGGTTACACTAATCCATACACCCGCTAACGGCCTACTGCGTCCTACGTCTGCTTTCAGGCGTCTCCCGGTCACTGTTTTATTACTATTTACTATGGACCTCAGACACAAATGCGATCAGGTGTAACTTGATCAAGTCTAACTCGACGCAAGGCCGTACAAGTATGTGCAATTCCTGCGCTTTATGTCATGTTATTGTTCCATGGTCGTTTTCTTTATAATTTCTCTCTGTTATAGTTTGAATACCTCCATCTAGGCCTACAACAGTTTAAGTTCACTTTCACATTCACTTTTTTAGATTGTTTATGTATCATTTACTTCTAATTTGTACAGCATCGGTGCTGGAAGTCTCTGATGTAATCTCGTCTGTAACACAATGAAGATAAAACTTTTGGATCGTGAATAAGGTGGTCATAACACGTCGCCTCACATGTGAACCTACCGGTCGGATGTCGATGTCGCACATCCCTACGCTCGTCGTCACCACGTGACCCACACCCAGCATGGTATTCCCCGACAGACCCTGCAGAGAGACACGTGGGATCAGACTAAGCGGAGGAGTTCCCCTCAGGGAGATCAGCTTTCTTCAACACCTTCTGAGATGAACTTGGGTGTCAAACCTTGGCGTTGGAGGGATCAAACAAGCCCTCGGGGATCCTCAGCCTCTCTGCTCCAAAGTCACAGTTGTAGCCGTTGGGTAACTCATAGTGCACCGTGGGCATCTGGGCAGCCACCCTGCAGGGGCACAGGTCCACCATCATGCAGCACCAATACTGAAGTGCAGGGACGTTTTATTCTATTATCGTTCCGAATCTCCTGCAAAACCACAATGAAGTCCATCCATCCATTTTCTGAAACCGTCCTATTGTCCTATTCATGGTTGCGGGGGGTCCGGAGCCTATGCTGGAGGCTACGGGTGCAGGGCAGAGAAGAACCCAGGATGGGGCGCCAGGGCGCCACGGGGCACACTCACACCGTTCAGTCACACATATGCACCCAAGGACAATTTGGCAACTCCAGCTAACCTCCGCATGTTTCTGGACTGTGGGGGGGACACTGGAGTACCCAGAGGAAACCCCACGACGACACGGGGAGAACATGCAAGCTCCACACACACAGAGCCACGGTGGAGACTCTCACGCTGGTCCTGGAGGTGTGAGGTGACAGTGATAACCACTGCACCACTGCACCACTGCACCATCCTCACAATGACGTCATTCTGGGCAATAACAATACTGATCAATCGATTAGACTTACTGCTCATCATATGGTGAATCAGAAACCTGCAGTACAGACGCTTGGAAGTCCTGGATCACAGTCTGGGAAAATAGAAAATAAAAAATTAATACATGACATCACCATCAGATGAGGTATGTGCATGATAAGCAATCCATGTGTAAAATAAATCCCCAGTAGAAAAGCTGGTGAGCATACAGCTGGTCAGCCGCTTACATTACACATGTAGTTGTGCCAGGAACGCCTCACTTGCGGTAGTTTCTCCCTCTTCCTCCAGCTGGCGGACGCACCTTCACGGACCTCATCCTAAGAATGTCACGGGGAAACGTCAGACGGGATCGTGCAGTGGGACGTACAAGCGCAGCTCAGACACCGAGGGGGGACTGTGGGCCACACCTTCGCCGCAATCATGTACGGAGGGATTATTTCCACGCCCAGCTCCTGGAAAAGCTCCCTGCACTGCATGCTCATGAAGTCGCCAGCGAGGGGTGATTTCACGATACCTGAAGGACGGAGAGATGCTTAGCACATACAGCAACTAGATGTGGGTGATTCCAGATCAAGATTTTGTTTCAACCAACCAGCTGAGTACTCTGTGACCAGTGTTTCTCCTACCATTATATTATTTAATTTTATTCTCTAGACTATATAGTGCCAGACCAAAACAGAACTCATTTAAAGTTACCTTTCCTATAGAACAGGTCTATACATTGTCCTTTTATTAAACAATCTAAATAGCCTTACGTTATTTATCTTATTTACACAACAGCTTGTCATTTTTGTCTCTACACGGTCACGCGTTTACAATTCATCTCTGTTCTCTGTATCTCGCATGGCGGAGTTCCGCCCCGATGCGCGCACACAGAAGACGTGCACGCACACACAGGTGAGTATACTTCCACCACCGGACAGAGAGCGTGCATCAGAAAATACGTCGCGTCAAACCACCTGAAAAGCAGACATAAATATCTGCGTTTTTTTAACACTCCCAGAGTGGTGACGATGACAACACTCACTCTCCTGCGAGCAGCAGAAATGTTCTGATGTTTAGTTCAGTTGTTATATTGACTGCTGTCATTAAAAGAAACACATGAACCCCATGAATCCTGTCGGTGTCCGTCTGCCCCCCCCCCCCCCCCAAGCTGTAAACCTGGGGGAAACACTGGTGACTGTGACACTCTTTATGCTCAACTGGTTCGTTGAAACACGATCTTGGTCTGGACTTTTGCTCTCTGGACCTGAACTTTCCACCTCTGACAATAACTAAGCAGAGCAGGGGGAAAAAAACCCAATTAAATCAGAGATAAGAGAACTAGCAGAGTTCTAGAAAATGAATTCAAAGGAAGGAGCTGAGAGGTCGCTGACTCGGGTTGTTGGATCCATACCTTGCTGCAGGACATATCCATCGTGGACTGGGATGGCGGTTGTGTGTGTGGCGCCGCTGTCTAGCACCAGACCTGTGGATCGGCCGTTGGCAAATCTGTGAAACTAGTAAAGGTAATAAGGTAATAAGGGTAACGAAGCTCAGAGGATTAAACAGCAGGACATCAACGGAAGAGTTTTATTTTCTCCCTAGTTCTGTTAGTCAAGATTTCTAAAATGACCTAAACAGTAATTCAGCACCTTTTCCACTAAAAAACACCTCACTGGTACGACAACCAGAGGACAGACGCTAATCACACTCAGAACTACATTAGAAATGACAGCTACCATCAAACACTTTTACAGTTTGCTTGTCAGGTGAAAACTACTCTGTCTCCACTGTGTGACACTAATGCTTCCATGTCAATCAAACCACCCATGGAGAAACGCTGCCCTGTGACTCCAGGAAAGGATACGCCGACAGCACAGCGGTTTTGCACAGAAAGAAGGCAGGGATGTTGTAGTGTTCAAACATCAACTCAGTCAGCTTCTCTCTCTTCACCCGCGTGTTCCACTGCACACGAACAACAAAAAAACTACAGATTAGACAGTGACGACCAGACGAGGGGCTACGCTGTTAATCTAGAAACGGGGAAAAAAAAAAACATCTGCAGAAAGCGAGACACATTTGTACTCAATTATTTGCATATATCTATGACTGAGGTGTGGCCGTCATTTTTGGCAAATCAGTCAACTTCACTGTAAAATCTGAAAAGGCGAAGAACACTGGAAAGTAGTTCCAGTGAACCTTAGGGGTGATGGTTAACTGCTAGCACTGCCATTCTCTTTTTCTTATCGTATAACTGCACTGGAGGAAAAAAACAAACAAACATAATTGTCATGGCGACCAGAGACTCACCGAGGCCTCGGACATAAGCACGGGGTGCAGGCTTGGCTCTGACTTGAAGTGCATCTTGTAGGTGTGATCCAAAACAGCTTGAAAGCTGTCCCAGTTGTCAACTTCAGCCAGTCAAGGAAGCAAAGGCAATTATTGGTAATTTTAGAAACACAACTCTAAAACTCACTGCCACACTCAATCATTTCCCTGTCCAACTCAAGTGCTTCAAATGCCCCTAAGACACATTATACCTTTTTACTGCAATAAAAGACAACTGTGTTACACATAAACTTGTGTGTCAGTTTCAGTTTCCTAGGTACCACCCTATGACCACCCTAGTTTTAATCCTATTAAAACATGCAAATGATTATTAATATCCATATATGACCTGTGACATCTTTTAATATATGAAGTCTATTCAATAATTCAAAACTATCATTAGCTGAGAATATTTGTTGTTTAACTCATGTCACAACCCAAAAGAGTGTCGCAGGACCATTGTCACTGCATTGTGAAGTGTGCAGTTTAAAACAAAAAGTATTTTGAATTTCCCCCCCCCCAATGTCTTACTATTTTTGACAAAGCAAGAAGGCATTGTGCAGCTGTCACTGCACTATGCTCTGTTTACTATCCCTGCACTATTTCTGTAAAATAAATTTGGTTCAAATATTTTTAAATTTGGGTTGTGACTTAACCAAGGAACAATGTGAGTCCTGAGACAAAGCCAGCTGAGAACCACTACATCTAAATTCTACTGACCATCGGGTCAACTGGATCCCATCGCATACATACACACATGTACACTCATACATGTTTGGGTAAGACACCATAACTTCATGTTCTGATTACTGTACTGAAGCATAAGACCAAACTATCTGTGACCCAATCAGCCCAGAGCTGGTCAGGTAAACTCACACGCATACAAGAACTTACTCATGCCGTTTTTGAGAGGGGACATAACTTCCATGTTCTCACGTGGAACCCTGAGCTGGTTCGTGTCTATATAGTATGTGTGGCCACTCTGCTTGCCCTTGTCCATGTCGGTTTCCATGGGTGTGCTCCCATCCTCCCTGTCCAAAGTTACGCCGATCACAGTAGGGAAGTCAGCCTGCAGACCAACAAAGCATTGCACACCAGCTTCTCGCTTTCAATCCACCTACAGTCGGTACAGTCAAGGTCTTTTAAGGGGGAAATGACGGGCGGGGAAAGTAAAGATTTTATATTCCCGGAGCTCACCTTGGGACAGTCCTCCCCAGCATATCCTGCCCGTACACTGTAAGATCCTATATCGAAGACCAAAGCTCCAACCTCATCTATAGAAAAAAAAAAAAAGAAAAATTGCATGTCTTGTAAAAAAAACATTGCAATCAGAGGTGGGATTCCAAATTCCAGTCAATGCTAAAATACTCCTTGCAAACACCATCCAATTAAAATAAAACCTACGTCCGTTTTACGAATCTTAAAACTATCGCAAATGATGCCTGAGGTACAATGTAAATATACACATAAGTGTTCATAGTCATCTAGCTCTACACAATTCACAGATATGTGTTTAATCCAAAGCCTGCACACTTCTTCGATGTATATTTGGTTAAGATGTAATGATTTAAAAGGTTTAAACGTTAAAGGGATGCCGATATCTGGGTCCTGCCAATACATCATATTAATGAGGGGGAAGCAAATGTGCGGACTGGCGTCCCGTCAAGTCGCTGCATAGATGCCGGATCTCAGCGAGTAGGTTGTTAAAAGTGGGCGGGTGAATGGATGGATGTGAACTTGCGACGGGTCACGGTAACATAATATCACCGTTCTTGGGCTAAACGGGGACCAGACGAACTGCGCAGCCATCCAAAGACACGGACTTTGCGTTGCAAAACGTGGGATCGGCGTTCATGAATATGGATTTAGACAACTAGCGGAACACATAAAAAGACGAGACTGCTTCCGATTACGGACATAAACGCCAAGTACTGAACAACATCTTTCCGGAGCAAAGATAGCAAAATAAAAAGAACAACGTGGCAAGTTCGTTGATTCATCGCATCTCAAAACTAAACTTACCTCCTCCATACACCCCGCCGCTCATTCTTGGTTTTGGTTATAATGATGGAAGAGAAAAAAGTAATGTTTTATCTTAATATATATATATTTAAAACCACGACGCTTAACAATAGAAACTAGAGCGTACTCATCACATTGATGGAGCGACACCGTACGTAAGGCGCCATTGCCACACGTAGCCAATCAGAGAATAGAACCTTTTGGCCACACCTTCTCGGCGTAATTCTATTGGTGGATGCCAGAAACGTCACTAAGACAAAAAAAAGTTGTAGTTCGGCCGGTGTTTGGGGGAAATGATGGAGATGTCAACATATATGAAAACGTCTGACAAGTTTGTTCATTGTCATTTATTCATATTTTTAATCCTTTCGTTTAATTACCTATCCGCTGTGACTGGCTTTCGGCTGCAATGGGTCACGATAATGCAAGACTGTCCACGGAGGTCCCTTGTTTCTATCATTTCTTAGTCAACACGTTAGTTGCACGTTTCGTTTTTTCACCCAGACAAAGCGTCAGTAGATGTAACAGAGAAAACTAACATTCTGCATTCGTACATAGGTATGTATTTTGGGACACATGTTGTACTACAAGTACAAAATAGGAAAATCCCACGCTTTTAAGAAACATTTTAATTTTTCCTTTCTAGCTCTGCTCTGCCCCAGTGCCTTGCCGAGTATCTGCTCTTCATTTTGCTGCATCTCCACCCGCGCTAAGCATAGAGAGGGAACTGAAAGCATGCCTTTACAAAAAGGCTAATGGGCATTCATTTGTTTTGGAAAAATCATCTCTGGATAAAAGGTTAGTGTTTATCTGTTCAAATTCTTGGGTTGGGTTAATGTGTGTTAATCAACCCAGAAATGAAAAGGGTTTGAAGAATTGCACTAGTACGTATCTGAGGTGAGTACAGACCAGCACCATTGCGACAACTACAACAAATTATAACATATATTTTAGGAATAGGAGGAAGAAAAGGAAAACGCCCAGTTTTTTTTTTAAAAAGGACTACAGGTGAAGTTCATAAGAATTTGTTTAGTTTGAGAAACAAAGAAGAAAGTGGTATATTTTCTACCTATGCAAACTTCTGTTACACAAACATGTTCGGTGTGTCATGTATGTTTATTAAACAATAATAAGGAAAAGGGTTATATACAGCACTGACAGAATGTCTTGGGACACTTTCCTAATTCTATAAAAAATAATTTTCATTGGTTTCATAACAAAAGTCCTTTGACAAGCAATGTGAAACATATCTGCAAAAATTCTCCCTCCAGACAATTTCTTAAGTGTTGTAATTTTTTTTTGACTGACTCAGTTGTGTTCTTGCCATTTTACTATGAATTGCAATTATATTCTTTGGCTCCCAAAGGGAAACTGAACACTGATGTTTGGTGTTCGTTGTTGCAAAATGTCACTTATTTAAAAGCCCCCAATGAGAAAGCTTGTCAAAGGACTTTTTATCTCACAACAGCTTTTTCAGAACTATAATTTGGGTTTCAATTCATTACTACTTAAAATAAATGTTTTACTTCAAACTACTAGCTGATTCAAATGTGATATATATTTTTGTAAACAAATTAATAAAGTAATGATTTTTATTATAAAACCAATAAATCTGATTTTTTTTTGTTTTGTTGAAATAAGCAAGTATCCCAATTATTACAAATTTCCATGCCATTTCATATTTATTTTTTTCCTGCACGATCATCTTTGAGAGTGTGATGTACGTGTACTCACTGTACTCACTGGTTAATGTGCATTAAGTCACACCTACAGTTTGTGGAGATCGGCGGGATTCCCCTGGATTTCTGAATTGTGCCAGACTCTCACTTCTGTTTAAAGTTGGTCACCCATTAACAAATAAGTTCAAGCTTTCATTTACAAAAGCCCGCTGCATCAAATTTAGTGATTCTGTGATTTGTAAAAGACAGCCTTTTAGAATATTAATATTAATCAAGGTTGGAATAAATCTGATCCTAGCCATGTGTGTATTTTGTCAGCACATGTACAACTGCCATTACTGCCAAGGCGTAAACAAATTACACATGTGTCTTTCACATATTCTGGTTTATTCTTCTCAAATGCTTCAGATATCTAGCCAGTTTTAAACGGTTAAAGGAATTGTTCTCTGATCAGTTTATGCAAGATTCTTAGAAATTTGTTGAAGAAAGCACTGACAATGTAACAAATAAAAGATATTTGTAATGTGTAGTAAATAGGTAAATAGGGAACAGACTGTAATGGAATAATGTGTACGTGGACTGGCGGCATTCATTGATTTTACAGAAACACATGGTATCCTGGAAATGATCAGATTTTGTAGACTTTGTTTAGGCAAACATCGTCTGTGAATCGATTTGTATAGCTTCTGTGTCATGGAGAGTCCGTAAATGCCGGGGAGAGAGACATGAAGAGGTGAAGCATGACTGGCAGGAGGGTTGTAAAATAAACAGTTATGTATTTACAGTAAATTTAAAGAAACAATTTGCTAATGAAAAAAATGCTTTATGTTTTGTGGCACAGGTGCAGCACTGGTGTCACCCTGCCAGTTTTGGGACTCGGCTGTATGTGTGAGGAGTTTGCAGTTTGCATCTTCACCCGTTGCCATGTGAGTTTCCTCCAGGCCCCCCCCCAGTCCAAAGATATGCAGTTAGTTGAACCAGCCACTGTAAACTGCTTGCAGTGTGTGAATCTACGTATGGTGTGTATGTGTGATATGTGCTGTGCCATGGACCGGAATTCCATCCAGTGTGTATCCAGTGTGTATCCAGTATGTGCCCCATGAAGCTTGGGACAGGTTCTCTGACCCCCATCCTGTAACCCAGTCCAGAATAAACAACTGGTTGGTTAATGGGCAGGCGGGTGGGCAGACGGTTGGTTGGATGGTTTTATGATGACTTCTGCCATCAAAACTAGTAATGTTGTATTTTTAACAGCATCAACACAGACATTTTACCCGTGACGTAATGAATGGCGTGATTGACCATCACTTTTTTTTTATTTGGAAGATCATCTGCATGCAATTTGCATTTGAAATGCATAGCTTGATTTCGGTGTTTACATGTGCTTGTATTTCTGTTATTCCATTAGTAAACATCTTGATGTGAATTGTCATTGACTTTGGATATTAATTAGAAAAAGTTTTGTGGGTGAACCTTTTATAGAATAAATGTCATATACTGTTATACGGGATACCTTAACATGAATGTGTATGTAGGTGCAGGCAGGATATGTATACCTCATAATCTATTGATGAATGTTACCTTGTGTGTGACTTTGGTATATTTTAAATATTAGTGTCCCTCAAGTAAGTCTGTTTTGAATGATCCATTATGCATAGTAGGTCCTGATCTCTGTGATATTTCTACCTTTTTGACGTCAGTTGCCATTTGTAATTGTTGCCCAGGCAACGGCCAGCCTCCCCTAGAGATAAGTCGAGGGGATAAGGCCACTCTGATTTTTTTTCCTTTTTAGGTTTAAATCAATTTCCATGTATCGGTAATTCCATTTCATTTGACTTCTGTATTACATCTTCAATCTGATATCTACTCATTTTGTTCAAATCAGTTTCTTACTAGTTCCTCATTTCAAGATGTTGCATCCAACACACAGTATAGCATCTATAATATTTCTTTTTGTTCTGCAGGAATATCGTAACGACATATCAATTTACGGACAATTGTTACCTTTATGGTTGGCCTCTTACTTGCCCCCATTCCTCATGTATGCAAGCGGTGCTTCAGTAATGTCAGAGCTTTTATCAGAAAACGGTAGGACCAGCGAGACCAAACAGCAGATATGACTTTTCACGTCTTTTTTTTTTTTTTTTTTAATCCAGATGTTCTCCTGGTTGCACAAGCTTATGTGTGTAGCCAAAGAGCCAAAGGACCTTCACCTATACTGTATGCTTAAGAGGTGAGTCAACGTGGATGTACACAACACCAGGCTTCAGGGCTATTTACAGCCCGTGCTCCAAGCTTTTTTTAGCAACCAAGCTATTGATGTGCTCCCCCCTTACAAATGTCTTTCTTTTTTTTTTGCTTGACAAGAATTGATCTAAGATTAGATTACTATGAGTTGCTGAATGCGCCTAACCAAAATAAAGGCTGTCTGATTCAATTCACTTTTTTTAAAGATTGTAGAAGAAATAGAAGATTATAGAAGAAATTATACAGCCTCTCCCCATGTTACAATGGGGTTACGTTCCAATAAACCTATCATAAGTCAAAATTAATACAGTTCACCTAACCTGACAACATCATAGTCTAGCCCACCTTAAACACGCTCAGAACACTTACATTAGTCTACAGTTGGGCAAAATCATTAACACAAAGCCTTTTTTATGATAAATTGTTGAATATCTCATGTAATTTATTGAATAATGTACTGAAAGTGAAAAACATTTACCCATCGTAAAGTCGAAATACACAGATCATCATAACCCGGGGAGCGTCTGTGCTCTATAATTGCTTCATACCAAAATGCTTCAAGGATCTGCAGTAACTCAGATAGCAGCAAACCACCGTAAGGAAGTAGGGAAGTGGGATATCCTTCAATATAGTCAGAGAACAAGCATTCAAATCACTTAGCATTAGGGGCATCGGAGGGGTATGGGTACCCTGGCAGATTCAGGGGGGGCAACATCTGATGGGGCCCCTTTTATTCATAAAGGTACACGCAGAATTGGGAGGGGGCCCTGCTTAGCATATATATATTTACCTCTAATACAGATGTATAAAGGGGTAATACATTTCTATTTTGGACGTTATGAATATATCATAAATGTTGCAAGTGAAAGATTGCATACTTTGTATTGTATCACATGGGATTTAACCTAAAACTAAAACATAAATATGCAGTAAAGTTATAACACCAACTTTACTGTTTATTACAGTGTTTCCAGTATAAATTCTCTTCATTATTATAACTATTAGAATGATTAATCACCAGCACTGGATACATTTAAATATTTTGCAAGATGTTTCAGTTTAATTGAATTTAAATGTACGTGCTAATATGGTGACTACATGAAAAAGAAATCCTTCTTCCTAAACCTGGAGGGGAGTTTTTCATAGCTAAACTTATGACCATCGCATTTTCACTATTTTGCCGTTTCAACAAGCAAATCGATTTGTTGTTTCCACGATAACATTTTCCAGTGAGTTTGCATTTCAGTCCCTTTTAGGGGGAGTTGGACATTCAAACACATGGTTGTCAGGTATTTAATCATTTATATTTGACAGACAGTGATTAGTTTCCACACATTTAATTTTAGTTCATTCAGAAGAATTATTCTGTTAAAATAATTAAATCCATCCATTCATCAATCCATCCGTCCATCCATCTTCTAACTGCTTTTCCAGGTCACGGGGGTCATGGGTAAGTTCTGGAGCCTATCCCAAACAGCACAAGACTGAGTCACACTCCAGATGTGAGGCCAGTCCACTGCAGACCACATACATGCACAAACTATGTGTAACTCAGAGACACCAGTTAGCCTACCCGCATGTTTTTGGATGGGGGGGGGGAACATGTGAACTCCACACATACAGGTAGGATTCATAGTCTCATCTCAAGCAGCATGAAGTAACAGCACCACCCACAGAGGACACAGAAGCAGAAGAATGGGCCAAAATCTCACCTGGACACTCTGAGGCTGGCTACTGTGTACAGAAAGCATCTTGAAGCTGTCATTGTAAACAGCAAAGGCTTCTCCACTACTTATTATATACATTTTACTAAGGGTGTTCAGTACCTTTTCCATGAGTCAATCCACTTAGTTGCACATAACTTTTGTATGGATTGGAATGTTACGATTTCATAATGTCTGGTGAGCTAATGTCTGGTCTAAATCTCATGTATCACGTGCTGAATAATTATTTCCGCCAATGTATGAACCAGAGTGATTGTGAGGTGATTATTCTATTTAATGTTTTTAAATATTTGCAATATTTACAAGTGTAGCGTTACTGCTATTAATTTTCCATGTGGTGCATTTTTTTTCATATGCCTGAAGCATATTCAGTTATATAATTTAAGAGGGTCATGTTATAAATTGTATTCATGCATTGTATTGTCAAACAATGTTTTTACCTCTACATTAATAACATATTTAAATTCAAGTACTTCTTATGTAGTTCATTAATTAAACTGGATTATGTTGGGGAAACTGTTCAGGTTGTTCTTATAATAATAAAAAATGAGGCCAGGAATTTTATTCATTATTTGATGTACAATGGCTTATTCTGCACAGTAGTGACATTATTACCCTTTTTAGTGTTAAAATTTGTTGTATCCCTGAATCCTTACAGGTTTCTGATAATGTCTTCATATTCACCTTGGCTTCCAAATCTTAGCCTTGTCTACCATTATCATCAATATAAGCCGATGCTCCTTTCCAGTATTTTACAATGACTTTGGCATTATGTGTCACATGCAATAAAGCAGCTTATGCAGGAAATACAATTCTAGAACTGAATATTTTGTGACATCACTTCAGTTAACAAGTAGGAACTTACTTCTCATGTTTGGCATGTTCTGATGAACAATATTACTGGGAAGCAGCTTGCCATTTTCAGTATTACGATGGTCAATCTGTTGCCACCTCCGTTAAGCCCCCCCCCCCCCCCCCCCATGCCAATTCAAAAGGGACCAACAAGAGCTGGGCTCTCTTTCATCTCTTCATCATTGATTATAAGTCTCACAGAGATGAGGGAAAGACTCTCCCACTGAGCACTTTTATTGGCTGCATTAACAATTCAGGAGTTCCTAATGGGGGAAAAAGGAATAAATAAATACAAATATTATCACGTCCAGGTTTAAACTGTTTGATGTGGTGCTCTAATGTAAATACGTCTTTAAAATATTACTGTTTGTAACTTTGAAAGGCTCCATGTTTCGAACAGGGTTAGATTCAGATTTATTTCACAGATAGCAGTTTTTCATTGATGATAAATTGAGTCTTTCCTGATTTCTGTGTGTTCATCCTCAGATTCTCTACCTGACAAGATCTGGAAAAACTTAATGTGTTCGGGGAGTGTAACTCCATGTTTTTATTAGGCTTTTCCATTTTTACTGCTCTAAGTATGAAAACAAATGGGTAATACTTTACTTGAGGGGGCACAAATTATGTAGTAGTAAGTTTATACTTAATGTATAATTAACCAGAAACTAACTGATCTCATCTTCATTCATTATTAATCAATCATTTTGGTTCATGTATTTCATGCAGTTATTTTTCATCATTTGCACTTGAGTAGTAACTGAGTTAATAAGTTACTTGTGCCCCCTCAAGTAATCAAGTTAAGTGTTACCAAGAAATGTATTGTATATTTAAGAGAGCTGTTTCTATATACCATAGACTGAGGTCTTTTAGGGCCACCATAATGTCGTACCTTTTGGCTTAATTATACTTCACATATAAATAGCCAATATATAGAAAAAAAAACTTTTGAATTAACATTTTCTTGTCCCTTAATTTTCACACACAGTTTTTTAAGTTGTCACTTCTGTTTCTCTGGAGAGTAAAATTCTGTATAATGAACCACAAACTATTATTTTCAGCAGCAGAAGGGGGTCATGACTTGTGATATCAGAGGACACTGCTTTTACGTAAAATTGCATAATAAATATGTCAACTTGTTCATCACTAAAGGCATTCAGCTCAGCAAAACAACCGAATATTAAACAATAATTAGAAAGTAATTTTCTATGGCAATAGTTAAATGTATGTTTACTGTTTAGTGAAACTAAAGGCAGCTCTCCATCTTCATTGTGCAAAAAATGTTTTTACAGTTAAATACAAAAAAAAAAATCAGAATGACATTAAATGTGACCTTCGAGAATATTAGTTTCCATCAAACCATTTCCAATGACCAGTGCAGAATAGCGGACATGAATTACTCTCCACTTTCACTGGCGTGCGCTACACTGCACGTTGCTCAGCCTAAGTGCAATAAGGGGGATGTTCCGATACAACCAAGGGATGACAGTGACACACAACTGAAGTACTAACACTGCCTGCGAGCCTGACCACACTTCACAGTCCCGGAATGAATATACACACAGAAGCAAAACGTCTACACTTTTACAAAAACAGATCTTTCTAAATTACCCCGGTCTTAGTCGTTTCCTGTTTCCCGTCCTCCCTTCTTTCTCTAAAAGCAGCTGATAGACAATACCATTAACTTTCGGGGTGGCACCAACTATTTCGGCACAGCGACTTGTTTTGCTCCGCTATAAACAAAGGGGAAACGGGAAACACCGAGAAAAGAAGTACAAATACGTCTTAGGGGACCATTTAAGGTTAAGTGGTGTATAGCGAAAGGAGATTTGTTTTTTAAAATAATGGCACTGTTTGTCAGGCTCCCCTCCGCGTAGGCTGTTGCCATGTTCCCAGTTTCTATATGGGTGTGGTGATTAGATAGCAGGGCGAAGATTGACTCAAATCCTGCCTGAGTCAATGTTGACTGGCCCTTTAAATCTACAAAGATTTCTTTAATTGAAATATTTTACGTTCTGACTTATTATAGGGGCCATGTGTGCAGTCTGACAGGGGACACTTACGGGTAGGCTGGAAGACTGCGGACCGCCCAGAAACTCTACTTCAGGTAATAAAGTACAATCTAATGTCTGTTTGCATTTTCTTGGCGCATTTGTTTCCTGCTTCGCTGCACAAAATACACTCAACAACAAAAACGTATTGTGCTTCACGGTATGATGAGAAAAGTGTGTGTTTTTTTTGTCTTTTGGCAAACCTTTACCCACTTATGTGCTTCACATCATTAGTCCTGAAAATGAGCTGTTGATATTGTTTTAAAGATTTTTTTTTCAGCTTTTCTTTGTCGTTGTCTTTTAATGGTCGGATTTCTCGGTTATTATAACGCAGCCTTGTGATAATGACCGATATCGCCTTCGGAGGCAACAAGTACGTTGTGAGAGTAAGTTGGAGAACAAGCTGCCATTTCGTGCGGTGTGTGTGTGTATATATTTATAATATATATATTTGTGTGTGTGTCTCCATTTGAGAAAAGTTGCTGCTGTAAATAGGTGTGTGTGGCGGCGTATGTGGATCGCAGCCCTCGGACCCGCCAGCTCCGGAGCCCGGCGGCTCTCGGCTCTCTCCGCACACGGTGCCGCTTGTCGGGCGGCAGCTCCGCGGCGCCGCCTCTCCCAGGGCCGCCGCCTTTCTGCTGTTACTAACGCCGCTTTACCGACATCCATCTAAAGTACTGCTTGTTTTGTTTGTCCGCGATATCATTCATTCACTTTGTGCCCCTCTGGAATGAGAGCCGCATGCACACCGGGTTACTTCGGATTCTTCTTAATTGGGGACTGGAAAATAAGGATTTATTTTTGCATATGGCCTTTTCCTTTAAGCAGCATTCTTATATAGGTGATATTCGTTTCAGCTTTATTTGGGATTTCCACTTCAGCACCTTCAATATTGAAAGTGGAGGTTAAAATATAAGTAATTGCAAATAACCACAATCAGTGTTCGATGTCGGGGGCACGACTTCATTTAAATACAAAGGTCTGTTCATTGGGGGGTGAATGGAGCCAAATTAAATATTTGGGGGTGCACACCCCCCTCCCACCCCTCGGGTCCTATGCCCGTGATCACAATAACAGATCTGTAGCTGTTAATAATATTTTCAAGTTGAAATCCTCTATACAAACTGTGTCGTGCATGGGTCTGGGTTTAAAACACTGCGGCGCGAGTTTAACTGGCAGCCGTGTTTGATGGGTCGTGTTGAGCAGGTGTGTACAGCACCTTCGTCTTCTGCTGCAATGCAACGTTTTAAATTCGGTTTGTAGACTTATTTGTCTTTTTGCACTTCATGCAGGCTTCCAGTGTACGGGAAATGTCACGATGTTCCTGCCTACAGAAGTTCAGGTCTCTCAAATTTGAACCTATCCCCCTTTGCGCTGTTTTTCCCAGTTATTGGAGCTCCGGCTTTTTGCAGCTTTATGAACTATTGTACATACGAATATTTTGGCGTGTTCTCTTTTGTCCTTCGGGAGAGTATTACTCACGTACTAGTCTTAATGCGACTTGGCAGTTTCATTGGAAACTAGTTTTTCTGGTATATATTTTGATAAAACTTGAATTACGGTTTCACCTTCTTGTACAAAAAGTACATTTACTTATTACTTTATGACTTAAAAGAAACCTTTCAAAAGTGTTTTAATTAAAATAAGGCCATGCCAAGAGCCTCACTAGCGTTCAAACTAATGAACTATTGTACATACGAATACGTACATACGAACCTTTGTTTTTATGATTACAGAAGATTCAAATGTGTGCATATCTTCGTTTATGATGTATTTTATATAGGCCTAGTGATTCTTAATCCATCCGGTTTACACTTGGCAAGACAAGAGCTTTCTGTAATACGCTGCTCTTTTCATGTAAGCATTTTTCTTAATATTGTGCAATCCGATATTCCACATGCTGTAGAACAGAGGTAAAATGGTGCCATTCCTTGTATTTTTTTCTAACCCTTTCAGTCTTGTGTTTCTAGATGGCTGTGCTGAGTGTAGATGTCAGATTTTAATTTAGCTGAAATATTTTTCATAGAAATTGCCAGTTAATGCATCTGTTTAAAATGCACTGGCACTCTGTTAAATTCTTTTAGACATCTACTAAAATACTTGATATTTAAAAGCATAAGAACAATCAGTTCTTGTCAAGTTGGTATTGGTTATGTTTTTTTTTTTTTTTATGGGGGTGGGTTCTCCACTTTAAATATTCGCAGGTTGCTCTCCTTCTAGTCCCTCATTATGTTCAGGATACACTTCTCTTCTGAAGGAACAGTATTCTGAAAAACAGATGCCTGCATCCTAAAATTACTCTGCTTATTTGGTGATGCTCCAAATACTGAATCTGGAGTTGTATGCACTGTAATATAATAATCACTGTAAATGTCTAGGTTGTGTGTCATAGTTTGGAGGTTTGGCATGGTCCAGTCAGCTTGTTTTTAAATGGAGAAAAGTCACTAACCTCATGCACACATTTCCTAGCAACAACATGCTCATATATACTGTATGAATTAAGACGTTTACACTTAATGGCGACACGCATTCGGTTTTGTAAAACAAAACATTGTGTCCTGAAATGGTCAAATCTTATATTTACGCCCCCCCCACCCCCCACCCCAGCAGGGAGCCAATGAATAGCTCGCATAACACTTATTATGAATCCGATCTTTCAGTTTATTACTTTGTGTATAAATGTGAACTCGAGTTCATCTCGGATGATAAGCACTGTTCTGTCACAGCAGGTTGTTGAGTGGATGTGAAAGGAGAATAAATGTTAACCCCCCCCCCACCGATTTGATATAAACTCATGTCAAACACGTAGATCCCCAGATTATTTTCCTTCTAAATTGAGGATGGAGACCCCTCCCTTAGACGGCCGCCAACAAACAATGGCACCCATTTGAATACTAAAAATTCACCAAGCAAACTTCAATAGTAACATAGAACAGTTGGCAATCAACAAAAGGTTTGATAAGCCTCCAGCAGGACATCAAGAGCAACACCAAGTACTTCCCAACTAGAAGTAGATTCTAGATTTTCTAGAACCTTCCTCGGTAAAATGTTAGAGACCACCCATTTTTACTGAATGGAGGTGGCTAGCGTTTAATACGACTACAGCATGATGTAAATTTAGTTCTCTGGGAGGGAGAAGAGACCTTTCGATGGACAATCGACAGTCATAGCATTTCGGTTTGTGGCGCTGAACAGCTTCGACTAAGCGTTCCCTTATTGTGGTTTATACAGCATAGGCCTTTTTTTTTAGGTTTAATTTTCGTCATGCTGGTCATTCGCTGGTAGCACATGTATCCAGCAGTCAGCCCTGACTGATTCAACAGCTGGTTTATTGGGCACATCAAGGACTCAGACTGCAGGGGGACCACGGTGTTCACCAGTGTGTAGTTAATACTCGACTTTCAGTCTGTACCTTGTCTAACACTCCTGTTTGAGAGTGACACAGCTGGCGTCACTGCACAGACGACGGGAATAAAGCGATGCTCTCCTCTTCTCCTCAGTGTCTGACCCCTCTAGCCAGGCTACTGAGTAGCTGAAAAAGGCTTTGCAGCACTTTGAGCGTCTTATCCCTGTGAGAGATGAAATTGTGGTTAAGAGTCACAGTGAGCCAGGCATGTGTGTATCCTGCCAGAAGGGAAACTACATTGTAAAGCACAATGTATCTTGGTGGGGAATTCCCTGCTGGTGAATGCAGATTCTGCTAGGCTTGAGCATTCCGGAAGAGTCTTTATGGCCATTGTTCCGAATGGCTCCACCTCCCAGGGAATCCATAAGTTTACTGTGACCATTGACCATTGGAATGGTTTTCAACAAATGACTCATTGTTCGTCGGCCATGTCTTCAGCCGGTATCTAGATTAACTTGAGAACTGGCCCAGGGAGCTGCATACCTGTGAGAAAAGAACTGAGAGTGAGGTAGAAGGAAGTGAATGTGTCTCGTATCCAGTGAAGCTGCGCTGAGATCACATTAGGCTTGTTTTCAACGCACGCTCACTCTGTGTTTATGTTGAAATGTGGAGGTGTTTACGGTTCGATGTGTGAATGATGGTGAAGCTTTGCTTTTGGTATCTGTTCCACTGAGACCACTCTTTCACTTGCTTACATCTTTAACTTGTGTCTGTTGGTGGATTTTAAAGGCATAGGCTGTGAAATGTGTTTTTTTTTTTTTTTTTTGTTTTTTAGGAGCTGATCAGGTTTTTTGTTCGGAGATCATGTGACCAATTCTGGCCACTGAAAGTATAGGATGTGCCCTTCAGTCTAGCACTGTGAAATATCAGGATGAATCAGACTGAAGGCATTGCTCACCCCCCCCCCCCAAGTTAAATGCATATTAAACCTTCAATTTTTCATTAATTGACCCAAAAAGACCATTCAGTGAGGAGGTACTACATTAATCTCTCTCTCTCCTTTTTTGTTTCCTGTTTTTATGCGCCATATGGGCCTTGAACCCGGCACTCGTAGCGGAAGCCCGAGGCCCCAAGCCGATGCCGCTGCTGGAGGAAGGCTTCCTCCTTTTCTCTTTCTCAGCCAGGGCAGCGCAGATTTAAAAACGTTCATCCCCCTAGTTACGCGCGGTACTCTTGCCGCTCCTCCTTTTCTCCTCCTCTTGCTCCCTCGCTGCACACGCATTCACAGTATCGTGTCTGTCTCGACGCGGGGCATCCGCTAAAGGAGGCTTGAATGCTTACGCTATGGGGTATTGCCCCGAAGGGTTTCAGAAACAATGGGCGTCCCCGTAGGTCAGAGAAACCTGGTAATCTTTGGCTTTCTTGTCTGAATGCCAGCTTCCCGGGAACAATCTGCCTGACGTGCTTGTGGCTGTGCCTGGTTCTGTATTCAGCAGGTCGCCAAACACATTTTACACTACTATGCAATTTTTACGACAGTGGTTTTGAGCCGTTTAATGAAATCACTGTAGTTTACATGGAATAATGCAGGCAGAAGTGCCCTTTTTTTCCATTTTAGCAGCTGATTGTACAATCCCAGTATGAATTTCCTGAGGCTAGTTTGTCCTCCATGCATCCCAGCGGGAACGGTCAGAATATGGGGTGAAGCAAATGCCCACTGTCGTCACCGGCAAGCGGACGTGGTGACGCTTAGCTGTGCGAGGCCGTGCCAAGCGGGGCTGTCACACGCCATACAGACCCCCCCTTTGTGTGCTGTCCTGCAACAATGCGCTGGGCCAATTACCTCGCTCTCCCGGCAGGCTGGCGTCCCAGTCTTCATCCAAGACCCTGAAGAATTCCTCAGCCAGCTCTGTGTCGGGAGAAATTTTGTTGGTAGATTCTTTGTTTATACTGGCTGTGAGAGCGGCAGGGTGCACTGTTGAGGAATTTTGGCCTTAACAGCATTTTTCTTCTGCATGAAACACCAGTATATTTCCTGCTTCCAGAAATAAAACCTGAAAGCTTTTATTTTCAGAGCTTGATCTTTTGGATGCGCGTAGAAGGATTACAGGGTCGTCTTTGGCTTAAATAGCCATTTCCTCATTCCATTCTGGTTCTGCACAGATTTCCCAATGTGTGGGTTAAGGGCTTTGAAAGGAGGAAGAAGGCATTTCTTAACATGCCAGCAAAGGGCTTTTGTCAATTGCTGATCAGTAATAATGATAAATAATTCATTCATTCCCTGATTGGAGCCATCGCATCGCACAGAGCTGAGTACAGGTGAATGACGAGTAAACACTACTACACCTTTCTGTTACTGAGCGTTTTTCGTAGAATAGCCCTAGTGAAGAACAAATCAATTTTTACTCCAGTTTACTTCATCTCTGAGACATCCTGGCCCCAGGAATTATGAGCTCACACCTGCCACACCTTTTAGCCAGTAATGAAGGCCTCTCAATCTGCGATTGTCTGAAAACCTAATCCTTTGTTTTTGGTAGAACAGCTTGCTTTTGTCAGTTCCTTTTTAAGATGTTGTGTGGATTTACCAATGAGTCATTTTTTGGTTAATAAGCAAAGCAGTAATGAAATTTGTCAGTAGAAGTACGGTCTTGATATGGAGCTGCATTTGTTTCGACCTTGTATGCCGACCATAAATCTGACATTATCGGGTGACTCTTCCACTGAAGATACAGTTACAGTAGCAAAGTGAATGAACAAACTTACTACACTTCATCTTTAAGTTGTGGGAGGTAAATTGATCCTTGTCAGATTAATCAATACCTTTATAATGCATTGTCTCATCTTAATGTCAGAGGCTTTGAGGCAAAATCATTATGCAAACCGCGTTGAAAGATCCAGTGGCTGTATGATGGGCAACCCCCCTAAAAGCCAGGCACATGATCTCAGGTCATGTGGCTCTTTGGTGTTGCCTCCTTGCTATAAGGGGCCTCGGTGTTGACCATGCAGGATTGCCGTGTTGCCAGATGTTCCGTCTTGGGGTCCCCTGTGTCCTGGTCTCCACGCAGCCTCCGGGTCAGACAGAAACGCTGAAATGTTTTTCCTTAATGTGGTTCTGTTCTGTACATTTAAAATTATTGTTCATGACTCTAGCTGCTGTGTGTGTGTGTGTGTGTGTGTAAGTAATGATGGAAAATGTTCTTCATGGCACACATACAATTTTAGTCAAAGTTCATCTCACTGACTGCTGTCCGTGTTTTCAGCCAAAATCTTCCTACAGTTACTGCAAAAAAATTTTTATTATCCCTTTGATTTTTATGAGCTGAAGCATCTGTTGCAAGTGCCTATTTTTGGAATAACTTGAGGGTTTTTGGCCTGTTTGGTCAAATAAATGTAAGCAGTAAGCAGTGCTCTTCATGAAAATAGGCATGAAATGACCCAAGCAGACTCTGTACAGTTTGTACGGTTTGTTCCCGTTCACGTTTGTTGGTGGAGCTGCTAATTTTATTTGGCAGTGATTTTTCTGCACGTTTTTTTTAATTTTGCAGGTTTAAAATGTTATTGCAACCACTTGGTCCAACCTGTGATGTGAGATTTGGGCCGTTTGCAGACTTGGTTTCATATGCATTGGGCTGCCTTTTGACATACTAAACGTTGACTTGCCAACAGGAATCTTCACTGGCTTTCGTTTTGAAAGGTGCCTGTCAACCTTGCATGAGTCAGTCGGTTTTGCTGGCCGGACTGAACCATGAGTGAACTGGAGCAGCTGCGACAAGAGGCAGAGCAGCTGAGGAATCAGATCAAGGTAAGAGGACTGACTGCAGATGCAGACCTACAATTACCTAAAATGATCATTTAAAATTATTATTTTTTTTTTGATCCATTGAGATCCATTTTATGCAACCGGCCTGCTTCTCTGTTGCTTTCAGCATGCCAGGAAAGCGTGTAGCGATTCCACTCTTGCACAGGTAAGGACTTGAGGGTGGGATGTGGGTTATTTTTGAGCGATTCCTTGGAACAGTGTTTCCTGATCCGGCCCTTGAGGACCCGCATACAGTCCACGTTTTGATTATTGATAGCTGGGAGGGAGCAAAAATGTGGATAGTCTGTGGGTCCCCAAGGACCTGGTTAGGAAACACTGCTATAGAAGAAGCAGCCATGGTGCAACTGACTTGCAGTTTTACGCTTCCTCGAACCAAAAGAACATCGTGTACTCAAGGGAAACATCATGACACTTTCCCTACTGGCCTAATGTTGCCTTTCTGTAAATGAAATGTATTCCACTTAGTGTTCTAGTTTATAAACTGCTGACATGTTCTGCACCGAAATCCGAGAAGAGCTGTGAATTTAGCGGCTTTGCAGCATCTGGATTGACTTGTAATGTCCTGCTCTGCACGGTAGATCACGGCTGGTCTGGATTCAGTGGGTAGAATACAGATGAGGACAAGACGTACACTGAGAGGACACCTAGCAAAAATCTACGCCATGCACTGGGGAGCTGACTCCAGGTCAGTATGGCGTTCCGGCTCGATTCGACTGGCCCTCTCTGTCTCTGTAGGCCAATCGTATGCAGACCTCAGTCTCATTTCATAATTTGACAAAGAGTAAAATATTAAGTAGCACATATCTGTGAATCAGCCACACTTGAGCTGGGATTAAAATCGTTAATTATTGATAACTCTGTCTGTTAAAGTACAGCTCTGCTGGTGATATTCTTTTTTTAATTATATCTCCCCGAGTGTGAAAACGGCTCGTTTTAAGTTGCCTTGCCCCAAGGGGAAGGAGATATGAGTTTTTAGACGCCCCCTGGATGACCTACAGTGGGAGAAGCGCCCTGTGTTTGTCTCATATGCCTTGGCTGACATTTGGGGCCCCCCATTGCACGCTGCCTCACCCCGCGGACGGGGCTCGCCGCACTTCCTCCTGCTCGCTGCAGGGGTGGGCGGGGAGAGGCGCCCCTCCCTCCTGACTGCACAGGCCCTGACAGATCGCGCTCGTGAATATTGCATGACATGGCACAGTTGGTGTGGGTAGTATCTGCAGGTGCGCCGACTGCGAGGATGGCATGGGGGAGGGGGCACTGGGGGGGAGGGGGCACTGGGGGGGGCAGATGAGGCTCTTGGCTGCTGCTGAGCCTTCATTAAAAACCCAGGTGTGGTCTTTCCTGAAGTCTGCGCGGCTCTAGAGCACGGCGCAGTTTCTCTTGGTGCTTGATTTACATTTCTAATAAACCAGTAGCCTGATAAGATGTCGTCTAATCCTATAGGTTACTGGTCAGTGCTTCCCAAGATGGAAAACTGATCATATGGGACAGCTACACAACAAACAAGGTGAGTGTTGGGTCAGTGTATTCTGTGACGTGTGTCAGATACCTGTGCAAGTTCCTGAGACTCCTGTCTTTGGGGTCCTCTCGCCCCCCTCGTGTCGGAGGGCTCTGATGGCTGTTCTCCGCCCCCCCCCCCCCCAGACACACGCCATCCCCCTGAGGTCGTCCTGGGTGATGACCTGCGCCTACGCCCCTTCTGGCAGCTACGTGGCGTGTGGCGGATTAGACAACATCTGCTCCATTTACAGCCTGAAGACGCGGGAGGGCAACGTGCGGGTGACCCGAGAGCTGCCCGGGCACACGGGTGAGGGGCCGGATCT